TACTTAATGTTTTTATATATACGTACTTCATACACTATACAATACATATTTACTATATTCTCCGAAATTATATAACCTATAAATATATTTTCTTAAAAAAGCAAGCACTAACGCTGAAATTGTCGAGACACGAAAAAAATGCGTTTATTTATGCGCTATTTTGTTTGCTCAACTTTGCTCAACTTACATATACTAAGATGTTAACTATAACTAATGGAAAACAGTAATATCAATCCTATTGAAAAAAAAGTATTAATATGTATTGCTATTGACCTGTGTATTAATGCTATATAAGGTTAAATATTTTGTAACCAACTAATACCGATCTTGAAAATTCGAATAACTATTTGACATTGAGGATAGAAATGAATGTTAAGTAATAAATAAAAAGTAATAGAATATTTCGATGTGGACAATCGACAGAAAAATAATGGCAACCTACGATAACAGGAGGAAACGTTGATGTTACACGACTGATTTTACAATACTTGATCGGACTTGATCAGATGTTGGATTATAATCATAACATGTACTAGCTGACTGATCAAGTATTGTAAAATCATTTTTTTGTGTTTCACACCGCGTGTAAAATCAGTCGTGTAACATCAACGTTTCCTCCTGTTACCCTACGATATCATAATATATCTGATATTGACCAAAGTTTTTTGTACCTGTTAGCTGAATGTTACCACTTCATAGGGTCAATAGTGTGTCGAATCTTTTTTATTGGATAATATCGATGTTTTTTTGCGATCTAAAAAAATGTTATGCTTAACATATTGGCGAATTTGCGGAATTGGCATAAATTAGGGTCTATAGATTTTAACAATGCAATTGATCCAGGGACTAGGGCTTAAACTACCATATTAGGGGGTTTCAGAATTAATGATTCGGCGTCCGATTTCAGTTTTCTAATCTAGAGGTACAGTCGTCCTCTATAATCACGTTGTTTGTTTTACATAAAATATAAAATTTTAATAGTAATGTGATTATATAAAGTTTTTTTAATAAATATATATAATTTTTCAAAAAATGGTGCTTATAAAAAGGGTGTGATTATATAGGAGGTGACTGTAGATGAGGACGACTGTAGTAGCTGAATCCGGATTTATCGAATTAATCCGGATTTTAAATAAATCCGGATTCAACTTTTTGGAATAAAATATCTGTTATAATATAATTCGGATACAGTATATATAATTTGAATATAAAATATGGCATTGGAAGCTCTGGTATTATTCAAACTATAGACCTACAATCAAACTTCTATCTAGAAAATATGATTATAAATTATGTCTGGATTATGAAAATAGTATCCGGATTAAATCATGTTTGATTTAAATCTGCTTTAATGCATTATGACGTAGCTATATGATTACTAAATTCAAAATAAAAAAATTATTCAAAACAACGTGGAAGATCCCGTCAAAAGAAATCCGTTTAAACTTTACAAAAGTTGCTGAACCTGATAAACATGTTCGAACAATACCTCGCCAAAAATGTAATTATTGCGAAGGTCATTCATTAAAATGTGAAAAATTCCAAGAAATATATAAGGTTTATTAAAACTCAAATACAGGATTCTGGTTTTTCAGATAATTCATTCCAAAATTTATTCAATGGGTTTACATAGTGGAATATTGACTTTCAATATAAATGTAAACCTAATATAGAATGAAAGATTGTATTAGCCAATAAGCAAATTTCGTATTTTAAAACAATTGATAACTTTGATAAAATTAAAGCGATCAAATATTTAATTTTATTTATTTATTTATTTTTTTACGTAATATCTAATAAATTCGAAATTATATAGCACCATCTTTTGGTACAGATAATTTATTTTATAGACAATTTATTTTATATAAGCTCATTTTACATAGTTATTCACTATGAAATGACTTGTCTTTAAGATAAACTGTCTATGAAATGAATTGTTTGCATTAATAGTCTTTAAAATAAACTTATCTATGAATTAATTGTCTATATAAAAATAAGATATTGAAGCGATTGTCTGTAAAGTGATACGTATCCTTAACACTAGGGCTCTACATTTGAAGTATTTTGTCTGAAAACTATCGTTATGTTCAAGATCTGATTTCAGGTGCTTAGTTTTGGTTGGTGCGGCTTCGGGCATGTGCTACTCCTCACGGATCGACATTTAAGATCCGACATATATCTGCCCACCTAGTATCTCATAGGCAGACTTTCGTATGATTGGCTGTTTAAATCAATTTAATTTTACATTATTTATACAGTTTAAAGTACTTTTTAAAAAAAAATAAACAAAAAAAAAGTAATAGAACGTTTTATTAGGGTTGTAGGACTCCACTATTAAAAATAATCCAAATCCCTTTTTGTTTTAGAGAAGTTGGCATAATAGCAACTTCTTAAAGATAGATAGAATTAGGTTACACCATCTAACTTCTCTAAAACAAAAAGGATTTTTAATAGTGGAGTCCTACAACCCTAATAAAACTTTCCATATACTTCTTTTTTGTAGTTAAAAAGTACTCTAAACTGTATAAATAAGGCCATACAAAATCAAATAATTGTTTCTCATAACATAGAATTCTAAAAGTGACCCGCCCGCTCCGGCTTTTAATTTTTAAATCGTAAAAATTTTATAAGTTTTTCTTTTTCTAGAAAATATAAAAACATAAAAATTTTTATTAAAAATCCACCCGGAAGTATTTATAGTAAATAACTTATTAACTTTATATGGCCTAATGTAAAATTAAATTGATTTAAACAGCCAATCATACTAAAGTCTGCCTATGAAACCTAGTATCGCCACCAAGATCATGTACGTACGTACGTACATAATCGGTTTTTAAATTTATTTGCCGACATTTGATTAATAATAATACATGTAATAATAAACCTATTTACGCTTTCTTTAATATCGTAAAATGGAAAATCTAAATCTTTGTTCGTCTTGTCGAATTATAAAACCCATTATTGCATTTCAAAGTAACCAAAAAACATGCTTTGAGTGTTCAACCCGTATAAATGAAAGAAAAGAAAACGTAAGAACAAATATTAAATGTTGTAAGCAAAAAAAAAAAATTCCATAAAATCCGAAGAGATTAAACATATAGTTTATAGTTTATGGAAATCTTATGGATATTGAAGGAGAAAGAAATATGCATGAATCTGAGATAGTTGTAGATACTTCTCGAATGATTAATGAATTAAATGACGCAGAGGAAGTTTTTGCAAGTTCATTAGCACTTGAGATCGTAAAGATCTGTGAAAAGGAGGTGGCTATTCATACGTTTACCATAAAATATATGTTAATAAACAAATCAAGACTACTTCATTTACCTATTGGTGTAATTGTCGCTGTGAATAGAGGTGGGATTCTTTGAATATCCATTATGGCTATTTACGTGTACTAAACATTCATGGTTTTTGGACACTCCCGAGTAATATTGAACGAATATCCGATTTTACATGGATACACAAAATGATCAAATAGATTATTCACGAACTTCATATTTATTGAATATTTACGAATTTATGTACCAGAACATTCGTTTTTTTAAATTGAATATTCATTTTTAATCGTGGTTATTCACGGATCCTACCTATAGCTATGAACTCGAAAAAAGAATTGAAAAAAAAAAACAATGATAAAAGTAAACAACGCAATAGAGAACTAAGAATCGGATATTATGACAGAGAAGGAACCATTATTGAGGAATCGAGTACTGAAGATAGTGAATCCAAATCTGAAATTTTAAGAAAGCACAAAAAAACTCTTCATGAGTATAAAGATTTTTTTTTTTTTATCACTATGTTTTCATGTTTATATAAATATATTTTATTATGTTTTGACGCTTGATTGTTTTGAAAATCCAATAATCTTTCCAAACAAAAAAAAATAGTTTCGAAGCATTGAATCGAACTTTAAACCTATCCAAAAAATGGTGAATGGCATTTAAGATTTCGAACAAGCAAAAAAAACTTCCAAAACTTGGAGTGATCGTAACAAAAACACATTTACTGGTAGCATTTAAAGTTTTATACGTGTATTAAAAAAATTCGAATTTGAATATAAATGCATTTAAATGTTTGAATTTAATGCAATTCGACTTGGAGTTTGAAGTGGTGATTAAGTAAATTCTAATAAATAATTTGAATAATAAAAAAAAAAAAGCTTCAATTATTTTTTTCAAAATCTTGTGATTTTGTTATTATTGTGCTTAGATTAAAATTTTAAAACCGATTACGTACGTACGTACATGACATTCCGGGATATTAAATAATCTATACAATCTTGCGATTAATAGCTGTTCACATGAAATTTACAAGGAATTAAAGGCTGAAATCTGTAAGTATAGATATGCTACAATCTGTTGTGTATTCGACGATATCAATTTTCAATTTTTTAAACCCTTTTACTCAAGAAAGTTTTTAAAACTGATAATTTTATAGCCTCGGTAAAAGCCTTAGCGATTTGAAAAATCGAACCAAATCATATAATTACATATTTATAGTTCTAAATATTCTTTCCTTTTTAAACACTTTTTCAAGGTACTATCAGACTTCCCTAAGTACACGATCTACAAAATGCACTCCTTCTAATACCTCATACCAAAAAACTATTATCCTTTTTTAAATGCTCTCTTATGGCCAGTCCTGAGGGATACAATTGGGAGGTCTGAATGTATGTTGAGTTCTTTATTCTAATGGTTTAGGGTTACTAAAAAAAGAATCTCGATTTTTCGTCTATCAGATTACGATTATTAAGAACTTTGACAAATTTGGGCGATTTTTAATACAGATTTACTAATATTGTGTATACAGACTTAATAATCATACTATCTCTATATCGAGATTGATATTTATTTGTAATTTCATCATGATAAATATTACATAAACAATTCGAATTGTTTATTTATAACCCCAAAAAAATCCTTATCGTTATGTATTTTAAAATTTCTTCACTACCGATCACCTTTAATTTGATTCGAAAAATAATAATTATCCGCAAAATGACCACCACTGCTAAACCTTCTAGTAATATTTTGAATTGGGCTTCTAAAGATGGAGAGTTTCGAAGGTCTCTATTTCAGTATAAATTGTAAGATTATGTATGGTAGATAAAATTCTATTAATCTCCATGGTCATTCAATTACAGAAATCCCTCTGTTTTTCGTAATACGATTAGCAAAGATCCGGATGCAATTTTTACTCCTGAAAAGTTAGTTAATTGCATTGATGTTTTTAGCCGTAGGTGTAATTGATTATTTAAACTTTTTAATTTTCTGTTGTACCTATACTACGTAGGGATCGTTATCATTTGTATATTAGTTGGGCTTGTCCATGGGTACGTTTGTATTTATTCTTTATATTTATGAATTATCTTTCACGTATTATTTCTAAATTAATTTTTCCATATCATCCCCCTATAACAGGCCCATAGGACTGTCATCATACGAGCATTGAAAGGGCTTGAAGACGTTATTGGATTGAGCGTTGTTGATTACTTTTTGGGTGAGAAAGGATGGAAATTTAGTACTCCCGAGGAAACTCCTGGATGTATTCCAGACACTGTAAATAATGCTCAGTATCTTAGAGAATTATATTTCAAAGCTAATCCTGATTATGATGGAAGGTTTGAATCAAAAATTTATTTATATTTACACATAATTTAATACAATTTCATTAATAAAGATCTACTTTAGATTCACTGTGCCTGTCCTTTGGGATAAAAAATTGCAAACAATTGGTAAATATCGAAATTATTATAAACTAGAACAAGTTCAATTAAAAATAACTCGATCATTGCTATTATAGTCAACAATGAATCGAGCGAAATAATCCGTATTTTCAACAATGCGTTCGATGATTTCGTTCCAGAAACGAGGGGCAAAACTTTTTATCCAGAACATCTTGCAAACGAAATTGATAAAATCAATGATTGGATTTATAACAAAATTAACAATGGTGTTTATAAATGTGGTTTTGCTACATCTCAAGATGCTTGTACGTACGCTTTTTGTAATTTGTTGTTTTTTTTTAAATTCTTATTAAAATTAATTATTTGCATTTTCTATCAACAGATATGAACCATATTGGACCTCTGTTCGGAGCTCTGGATGATGTGGAAGCTATTCTTTCTAAAAACGAATTCCTTGTCGGAAATACTTTAACTGAAGCTGATATCAGACTTTGGACCACAATTGTTAGGTGTTGTATATTTTAAAATTTCTATATTTTTCATTATTGACTAGTATTAAAAGAAATACGATAATTACATATCACAAATCAATTTATAAATTACGTAGATTTGATCCAGTTTATCACACGCATTTTAAAACAAACTTGAAAACTATTAAATATGACTATCCAAACATTCTTCGTTGGACTAGGCAAATTTATAAAATTCCTAAAGGTAAATCATTATGTTCTTATTTTATAAAATTAATTAATATTAACTAATATACACTAATAATCAATTTCAAGTTGCTGATACCGTTAATTTGACACACATCAAAAACCATTACTACAAAAGCCATAAGCAAATCAATCCACATGGAATTGTCCCTGTTTACAACGGACCCGGTACGTAAACTTTTAAAATTGTAAGATATAAGTCTAATGAATTAATGAATATAATGAATTAATGAATAATATTTTCTAATAAAATTTTTTTATTTGCGATTTATATGGGTTATTTTTCAGATCTTAATTTATAAATGTGGTTTCGACTTTTGTTTTGTTAGCCCATAAATTTGTTCAAATTTCTTTGTAAACATTTAAGAAAACAGTTGATGTGAGAACTGAAAATTCTATATAACTTATTATTTTTTATTTTTGTATTTAACTATTCGACATTAGTAAACTTTATTGGTGTTCTATCACTTTACTATTTATAAACATTTCTAAATTTTATTTGCTTATAAAAAATTTACGCATTAAAAGAATTTGATTAATGTCTTTGTATCTCACACTTCTGTAGTCATAATGATAGTGCCAGAGAAGTGTGTGTTAAGAAAATTTGTCATAATAAAAATTATACTAGTTGAGTCTTTATTCTGTATCAAATTGTTAGCAGCCTCTAGAGACCCTGTGACTTAATATTTAATAAAATCTTAGTCTTTAAGACATGAACTTTGATTATAAATATAAAATAAATAAGGGAAACTGATATTTCCGCACCCACCCCCATTGATTGAAAGTATCTTGGCAACCACTCAACTAAATTCGATGAACTTTTTTTTGTTTGAATTCCACGAATTCGTAAAATTCAAATAAAAAATTCATCGTGTTTAGTTGAGATACCTTTGGCAAAGTCTAGAAAAATTTTGCTGCAGCTAATATTTTGATAGACGTTTTAAAAGGTATTCAACCAAATTCTATGAATTTTTTATTTAAATTCTATGGGTCCGTAGAAGTTGAATAAAAAAATTTATCGAATTTGATGAATGGTTGTCGAGATACCTTCGGTCATAGCCATTACCAATTTTTCCGCGGCTAATATTTTGATAGACGTTTAAAAATTTTTTAAAAAGGTATCTCGACAACCATTCAACCAAATTCAATGAATTTTTATTTAACGGATCCATAGAATTTAATAAAAAAAATCATCGAATTTGATTAGATGGATGTCGATCAAAGTCATGACCACGGCTAATAACTTGATAAATGGTTTGAAACTTTGATAGATTGATATTATAGAAAGTGGATAAAAGAAAAAAGTAACAAATTAATTTAAATTTTAATTTGCATTTTTGTTTAATAAAAAATCTAGCTAATAAATATTAATATTCGGCTATTTAATTTAACAATTTATTTACAAAAAAGATTTGGTTTATAAGATCGACAATACAAGAGGTTTACTGTACTCGCGACACGACGTTTGATGATTGAGTTGTTCTTACATCCCCGTAAATACGTTTAATACTATAACTTATCACGGTTTAAAAAAAAAACAATTTAATTGGTAAAGCTGTCCAGCGAGGATAATTAAGCGTTTGCTAATACTCAAATGCCTGTTAGAAATGAAGATTTCGAAGTTCTGCCGCGCTTGGGCGATGTCGCGTAAGATCAGCATAAATCCCACGTGAAAATGTATACGCGTTTTACTCTTATAAAAATAAGAAAACCGATACTGTACAAATCAATTATTAATAGCAAATTTAAAGAGTTTTACTAGAAAGAACCGGCGGTGATCATCACCACCCCTAGATATTTTTAGGGTTAGGGTGCAATTTTAGGATTTTTTTTTTTTATATAACTTATATAATATAATATAAGATCCCTTTTGTAAGGTCCTGAACATTTTTACTTGATCCCGTTTACTTAGTACGTTTTGAAATATAGACACCCTGGTGATGGTCACCACCGGTTATGGTTCAATTAAAATACTTGATTTAAATATGCATTTTAAATAAATGAATAATAAATCATGACATGTTTTTAGATAATTTGTGATTCGACAATTAACATTTTGAAGAGATACAACATCAAAATTAACGTTTACAGTCATTAGTATTATATTTTCAATTTATAAGTGCATTTTTATCTATCATTACGTTATGTAGAAAAAAATATGAGAAGAAATTATGAGAAGAGTTATCCAAAATTTATATCCTGTTTTTATTTGACAACAAAAATGATTAAAGTCATCAAATCAAAACGTAGATATATTTTAATGTTTATTGCAACTTTTTTTCGTATTACTTTTTCTCTTTCTTTGACTTGTCTTTGCCGTTCTACATGAACATAAAGATTAGGCAAATGATTGTAAATATTATAATTATACTTTAACATACCTCTTATCAGATTTTAAACAATTGTCAAGATGTGAATTAATGCGCATGTTCGTAGGTTTTTTGAAGATTTTATCACATTTTGGGCATTTCCAGTCAATACTCATCTCTGGGTTGTTTTCAGAATTTTCAGGAATATCGGATCCATAAACCTCGCTATTTGCATCTTCAGTTTCATCTAGTTCATCTTGTACTTCTTGTACATCATGTACATCATGTACATCTTGTGCGAAAAACGTTGAATATATCACGTCTTGCTCATAATCGCTTTCGGTTATATCTTCAGTATTTAAACATGTATCCAGGTGCTCATTAATTTGAGAAACTTTTACATTTGGAAATTGTTTATTACATCCAGGGCAAGTATATCTTTTAAGAACAGTTGGTACAGGATACCATTTACGCTTTTCATTGGTTTCTAGAGTTGAATTACAAGAAGTTGTTGCAGGTTCATGTTCTATCAACAGGTCGACTATATTCTTACGAGCAGAATCATGATTAATTGAATTAGAAGCTCCAAATGGTTCAATATTAAGACGTTGCCTTTTGACTTGTTTTTCCTGTTTTTCCTGTTCAGTTGTATCTTCTTGTGTTGAAAACCACTGTTAAGAACGTTTTATATTTAGTGAATGAATGAATTGCTAAAACCAAATTGATGATATTACCCTTTTCAAGCAACTATTTTCAGGTTTTGATGTTTTTGGCGGTTCAAAATCAGATTCTTTAGGAGTTATTGATTTTTGTGAAGGGTTTGGTTGGTTAAAAAACCACTTAATAATCATTATATAAATAATTGTAACAATCAGAAATAATTCATATTATAAACGAAAGTGGAAGAAAGTGAGCGTAAAATAATTATGTATATACCCTTTTCAGTCCACATTCATCATTACGTGAACGTAAATTAGATAGTCGTACACCCATGAGCCTTATGTTTAAGGGTAGTTCATCTACTAATATCTATCATCAAAAAAGATACGAAATGAATACCATGATCATATAATATAAATCAAAATTTAAATTGGTTTAAATTGAATAATACTTGTTTTCCAAAATGATATAAATCATCGGCCGTATATATATATCTTTTAAGAGATCTTTCACGTGTAGTCACTTTGAAACTAACAGATTTAAATGTCAATGCGATAGTTTTTCCCTGCATTGTAAATAATCAATCAAACATACTTTAATAACACTACGTTTATATACTGTATCATAAAATTCACTACTTACATGGAGATATTCTTTAGCGAGGTCAGCAGCCAAATTATCAACTAATTCGCGGAGTTTGGCAAACAACTCATTAGGTTGGCTTAACCTGCAGAATGTTCTAGTAGAACGAATAAATCAGCACATAATCAGTATAAATAGTATTAACGTTAACGTTAAGAATTGTAATTGCTGATCAATTGTATAATCTTACAAACCTTGATATACTCATACTCTTTCGCTTATATTCTCTGAACAAATAATGACAATTAATAATCAATTATAAAAAGAATTAAAATCACATTAATACTGTAGTAATAGTAATAGACTTTACGATTTAACAATAGTCGATCCAATTCCAAGTGCCGCTCGTATGAAAAAATTGAATGAAATTGATGAAAACATTCTATATATGTAGACACTATTGTCTAGTATTGCGCCACATGTACTTATATCAATATCCTTTAAAATCCTCTCAGTGACTCGACCAATGCCTTAACAGCGGAGTGGGGTTATAAGTCAATATTTATTTAATGAATAACGAATTTAAATATGCGCGTAAAGAATTTACCAGGGATTTTACGAACAGGAAGAGGTCGAATGAATCTCATGATATCATTAATATCATTTGGAAGTCGATATTGTCCGTTTGGTTTGTTAAAATCGGAACATATTTTAGATAATAACATGTTGGCGGCGATGCCTGCACTGGCTGTCAATTTTGTCTCTTCATGTATTTCTTTACGAATTTGTTCAACAACTTCATCGGGTGTTTTATCTATTGTTTCGAGATACTCTGTAATATCCAAGTATGCTTCATCTAGGCTCATAGGTGTATAATTTGGATCATAACGAGCAAAAACCTCACGTATTTGCTTCGCGACTGCGTGGTATTTGTCGAAATTACATGGAACTATAATAAGTTCTGGGCATAACTTTTTAGCAATAAAGCCTGGCATAGCACTACGAACACCATACTGAAATAATAAAGACATTGATTAAAGTAAAAGTTAACTAAATTTTAAACATAAAATATTTTTATATATTAATCATACACGTCTGGCTTCGTAATTCGACGTGCTCAACATAGAATTACTTCCAACTGCCATTGGTTTACCGCGCAAAGAAGGATTATCTCTTTCTTCGACAGAAGCATAATATGCATCCATGTCGATGTGCACTATTATGCGAGATAAATCCCTCTTACGTTCTATGGCCTGCACCAAACTATCAACTTTATTATTAAAGGTAGACAAATCTTGTTTTCTGAGAGCTTCATATTTTTTTAATAGTTGCTCTGTTTTGTGTTTTAGAGCCTCGTCCTTTCTGACTTCATTATAATAAAACGCTGAGTTCTAAAATTATAAGCAACCTAAATTTAAGTAAAACAATTACACTACATAATAAATAAAATATATTTATGCAGGGTGTTACCTTTGAAGCTTCAAAAATGACTTGATTAATCTTTTCTTTATCAACTCCCTGTAGTCCTGCCTTGTTCGAAGCAAGGTCACCCATCCTAAAACGCAGTGATTCATCATTACTTTCATCAGTTGTGGATTGCTCAGCATTCGACGACGAAGCGGATGATGAACCGGAATTTTTTTCTTCTTGATCAGTCAATGGTCGGAAGTCATTTTCTTCAGCAAATTGAAATTCGGTATCAAGTTCTTCTCCAATTAAAAAATCTTGAGAATCAAAAATATCACTTTCGTCAAATTCCATATTTTAACTATTATACTTTATGCGCATGAATAATAAGTGATTAGCACTAAAAATAAGTACTTTACAGGATATTAAAATTATTTATAGTTATTTATTGCAGTATTGCAGTTATCTGTTAAAAAAAATATTTAAAAGGAGAAAAATTTTAATTTGTCCTTTGACCTCACAGTGATCAAATAATACGATGATTTTCTGCGCCAAGTCCGCAGTTCTGTACTCTTGTATTGTCAAGTAACATCCCCAGATTCAAGTATTATGAATATATAAACAGATGTTCCTATTGGTGGCATAGTTCTAGAAGATTCTATTTAGAGGTCTTAATTTGTGTATCCATAAATCTGGGGTACAGAATTTAGTATGGTAATTATCCACGAGCATTAAAAATAATTTCGAGATTTTACCAAAAAAAGATCCACTATCGCTATAAAGAAAATGCATGTGCGTACTCACCGGAAATTCCCTACTCGGATATTATTAAATTACCCGGGTTATCCGGGTAATTTATTATATCGATATACAGTATTTCGGGTAGTAATACAATAGCAATTTCTACCCGGGTCCAATCCCTAATTTCAATGATTAAGTAATTCTCTCATATTAATAATCAATATATATTATATAAAAAAAAAAAAAGTATTAAAGTGATAATAAAAAATTGTGCTATAGAGATTTTGATTTATAACGTAATTATAAAGGAGATAGGATTCAACATAAAGATTATTGACATACCATTGAACCCAAAAGCGCTATTAAAATTAATGTATTGGGGTGAGTTAGTAGAAACGCACAAAATTTTTTTAAGTAATTTTTTTAAACTTGAACAAAATAACTCAACTTAATTAAATTTATTATTAATAAAAGAAAAAATTTTTTTTAAAAAAATTCTAAAAGTTGTAGAAAAAATTATTTAAAAAAATTTACTAAATTTTGATTAAGTTTTTGTTGAGTTATTTTTCTTTACTAAAGGTTTAAAAAAATTTTTATTAAAATTTAATGCATTTTCAACTTATCTTCATATAATTTATAATTCAGCAATTATATATTATACTAATATACTGTATATACTGTATGTAATATATTGTATTGTTAAATAAACTTAATTTTACTAACATGTTATTATAAATAAAAAATTTAGCATCCAACTTTTAAAATAGTAGATAAATATATAGCTTTAATTTTTTTTTTTATAGCATGCCAAAAAATTTACTTAAATATTAATGGATAGGATTTCGCATTTTGTACTATAAATAGTACAGCTAGCAAAATAGTTTAAAAATCCAAAAAATTATATATCTAAATAATTTTTATATACAAAATCTGATAAATGCTATAGTATAGTTTAGCAGAATTTTTTTAATATTATTAATAAAGTTGTTGAAATAAAAAATATTTTTTAACTACAACCTATAATACACTATTTAAAGCAATTTTATTCTTAAAATTATTAAATAACTTTAAAAAATAAATTTGTATTATATAAAAAAGGTTTAGAACTTATTATATAAAAAAAATTATTACTAATTATATAATAAAAAATATAACTTGTATTATAAGCTTTGTATTACAATATTTGAAAATTATTACTATTTTTAGTAATTCATATAAGCTCTTTGATTTTTAGTTATAGTTAAAAAATTTTTTATTAAATAAATTTTTTAAATTTTTTATTAAAAGCTGTAAGTATTAACTATCTAATTCTAATTATAAAAATTAATTGATATTAAATTAATTTATCTTAAGTTATACTACTTTAAATTTTAAAAAAATCATATTTGTTTTTTAATATAAAATTTAAAAAAATCATTCTATAGTAAAAACTTTAAAGATAAATTATTTTTTATTTATTAGTCTAATATTAAAAAAAATTAATAATTATAATTAGTGAACTTATCTTTACAATTTTTATAAATTTGTTAAATAAATTTATTAACAAAAAAAAATTTTTATAAGTAAAAATATTCAATAAGACTCTATAAGATAACTAGTAAATACTATATAAATTTAGTCTAAACCAGTGTTAGATATCTAATGTTCTCAGTATTCTCAAGAACATTAAAATATTTTTGAGAACACAATTTTTGAAAATTATGTTCTCATTTGAAAACATAAAATTTGTAAATTGTATTATATCTAAAAACTTTTGAAAACATTAAAAATCTTTCTAAGATTCTAAAATTTAAAATTTATGTTCTCAGAAAACAAAAAAAAAAATTTCAGATCTCTAACACTGGTCTAAACTAAAATATTCAGGCTAAAAAAAAATTTTAAAAAATTAGAAATGCTATTTAAATTTATCAAAGTTTTTCTCTGCAGAGTACTATACTTAATAAACAATATCTCTTAGTACGTTGGGTAGGTGCAGGCAAATTTGCCTGCAAAAATTATATAGTATTTTTAAACCAATTTTTTTTATAAAATCCTATTGAATATTTTAATGTAATATTCTTTTAGACTTTATATTATTATTAAATTATAAATTACAAATTTTGATTATATTTAATATAAATTTATGCTAATTTAAAATTAATCAATTTTTTAAAAATAAATTTTAAATAGATTTGATCCCTATAATTATTAATAAATTTTTTATTTTAAGCTTTGATTAATTTAAAAAAAATTTTAAAATTATTAAAAAAAATAGGTTATTTCTGTTTTAAATATATTTTATTTATATATTTTAGACATATTATTATTAATATAGTAGAAATTTTAAAAACTTAATAACTTTTGATCCACTGGTCCATTTTAAATGATTTAACTACTAAAATGATCATCTCAACAAGACGCTTCTAACAAGTTTAAAATTATTAAAATTCAATTAAAGAATTCTACGATTATTAAAGATTTATTTTTAAATAAATCTTTAATAATTTTAGAATTCTGTAATTGGATTTTGATAATTCTAAGTTTGTTAGAAGCGTCTCATTGAGACGATCATTTTAGTAGTTAAATTATTTAAAATGGACTAGTGGATCAAAAGTTATTCAATTTTTAAAATTTGTACTATTTTTTTATTATTTTTTTTTAAAATTATCAATATAATTTTTAATATTTATGTTATAAATTTTGTAATTATTACTTTATTAAAATATAATATAAATCTGGCTAAACTAATATAAATACATTTTAGGGGGACCTCTACTATCTACTTCTTTAGAAATTACATAAAAAGTAAATTTTGCAGGCAAATTTGCTTGCATAACGTATTAAGAGATAATAGTATCAATTATTTGTTTAAGCCAGTTGAAGTTGTCTTTGTGCAGTTTATGCTGGTCATAGGTTTCCATAGTAACAAATTGAAAAAGTAGTATGAAATTTATGCTTAAGTTGATAACGGCCTTGGGTGGGCTTATTGTTAGTATTAGTGCAACAGTAGTGAGTGTTGAATAAATTGGTGAGTGCCAATTTGTATTTGTAATTAACCAGGTCGTTTTTGAATTCACAAAGGTAGTACATGCAGTTGGGTTACTTTTGTGTAGAGCGAACTTGGATATGTGAACCTGGATCTTTTTGTTAAAATATATTTGCGTAAACATAAACCAAACTATGGGTTGGTTATTGGTAAATATTTGTGAAAAATGATAGATTATTCATAACTTGATATGAGTAGATTAATAGGTGTCAGAGCTGGGGGTATGTTTGCTTGAATAATTTTGGTGAAGAGACTTAATAAGTGGGCATGAATTTGGTGTTTTTTGTCTACCTGGATTTGGTATAGCTGATTTGTTAAAAAACGAAATATGCATTTTGCTTTGTGTAGGCTTTTTCATTTTGAACACAGTCTATGCATCGTTTTAGGGTTTGTGATATATGATCCAAAGTATAATATTGTATTGTTGCAATGTTATTTTGAATACTAGATATTTTACCTATAGATTTAGCAAAGGTAATAGTCCAAGTGTTTTTGTGTGGAGAGACTTTTTTGTTAAAGAATGAGTTGGGGTATATTAGATCGGTTAATGGGTTGGAGTTATTTTCTATTAGGATTCGAATTGTTTGAAACTATTTAGATATTCTTTTATGAGGAATCTTGCTTATATTATAGTAGAATTGTTTCCACTCTAGCAATTGGTTGTTATGTATGTTTAGGAATTGTTTAATATAACCTATATTGTGTTTGTTTAGAAATGTTTTAATAGTCTACGATCATTGGATCTGGCTAACCATATTGTTGATTGAGGCGCCACTTGCTTCATGGGATATTGGCTAATTATTTTCTTTGTGTATAAGACTAATTTGTAAAGTGTGTAGAGTAAGAATTGCTTGAGCTGTGTGGGTCTTCAAGTAAATATGATATAGTAAGTATAGGGTTGAGTGTAGAGGTGTAGAGTAAAGCTACGTTGTTGTGGGGAGAGAAAATGTTATATTTGAGTAGTATTTTATTAAGATGCCAGGTGAATATTTTGGTAAAGATCTTGTATGCATGTTCAATTAGTGTAATAGGACAGGTTGTGTTGAGATCATTGTTGTAAGTAGGTTTTTTTGAAATAGGCCAGACATTTGCTTGTAACCAAGCTGTGAGTATGGTTTGTAGTTGGAGACAAGCGTTAAGAATGTCTAGAAATGCTGAGTTGCCAGTTGGGCTTAGGTGTTTAAGCATCTCATTTGTTATACCAGTGGGTCCTGGAGCTTTCTTTAAAAAGGATTCAGTTAAGGTCTCATTTAGTTCTCGTGATGTAATTGGTTCATTTAGAGGATTGTAGATATTGGCCAAGATATAAGTTCTCAGCTCATATTTCTCTGCCCAGTCTAGTGCTAAGTTGATTGCTAGGGGATTGGCTTTCGTCCAATTCTGTAAGTGGTTACAAGTGGCTTCTTTTATTTCAGATGAGTTAGTTATTATTCTGTTAGAAGTAATTATTTTTTCAAAGTTGATGTAGTCAATGCATTGTTGTAGTATACTGTCAATCATTCGAATCATGTTGCTTTACATGTTCTCGTAGTATTTATCGATATAGTATTGAATTTTGTCTTTTTAGTTTTTTTCTACTTCAAGCTTGCGTACTTGCCAGATTGTTTTTGTCATTTCTTTAAGTTGCAGGAGTGTTGCAGTTAGGCTTTGGTCAAGTAGTATTACAGATAATAGTTGTGGGAGTAACCTGCCTGCCTTAGATAGTTTAGAGTTTATTGTATTATATAAATACATTAGTGAGATGGGAGGGTGTATACTTTTGCAACTGTGAATTGTGCTATTAACTAATTTTAGTGCTGTGTGAAGTTTGGTGACTTGTAGAGAATGGGCATGGAATGTTCAAGGTGTGGTATATGAGTATGGTATTGTGGCTGTGGCTGAGCATGAGATTATATTGGAAAGGATATTTCAATATTTATTGAGAGTAGTAATATCTGTAATTGGTGATTAAGATAGATTTTGCTGAATTTTTTCCTCAGTGAGTTCAGCAAAGGTATGCTAACTGTCATTTGTTATTTGTTTGTAAAGAAAGGTTTTTCTTTGTTTTTTCTTGGTGCGCCTTTTGGGTATGTTGAAATGGGTTCACCACGTTATGGAAATTAATACATGATCGCTATCTGTTATACTGTCTGTATTGATTAGTTCAGGTGTTTTGAACTGTAGAGTTATTTCGGTATTGGTCTATATGTCATCAATTTGGCTCTGTAGATTTTGTCTACTCCAAGTGGGTGTTTTGATGGAGTGAAAATTAAGCAAACTAATCATAGATGAAGCCTCAAGAATATTAAAGATAGAGTTTTGTGTTCTTTTTCTGTTTAAGTTGTCATTAAAATCACTTAGAATGATGGAGTTCCATCTTTTCGCCTAGCTTCTTGAAGCCATAAATTAATTAAGTTATTGGTTGCTCTGCATAAGTCCAGGTAATTGGAAGGTAGATATGTTGAGATCAAACGGAGCTGGGTGTTTATTAGAAAAAAGAAATCAATACACAAAGCTGTGCCCGGATAGGTTTGAATATTATAAATATATTCTGCTTAAGAAGAAAACGCCAATAGCTCAAAGTTAAAAGAATCTGAAAAAGAAGAAGAGAAAACAACCTCAAGAGCAGGAGAAAGAAGAGAGAAAATTAGAGATAAAGACGAATCAGGACAAAATAAAAGCAGTATGAAGGCTAGGTTCAACATGTTTAGAAAACCTCTAACGGCAAAGAACCAGAATAAGGAAAACTCCCACCCACATAACCAACAAGAGGAAAATAAGCATTTTGGAAAAAATACAAAAGGGAAAGAAAGAGAAGATTCAATATTCACTGCTTTAGAACAAATCCTTAACAGGCTAGACAGGCTCGAAACCCAAAATTTAAGAATGTATAATGGAACCGCAGGGGCTTTCACTGCGGATCGCTCCTAAGATCGCCAAGGGTGAATCAATAAATTAAGCCAAGGTGTCTAAAAGAAACGAAAGGAAGATAATAGAAGACACTTCGGATGATAATAACCAACTCCCATAGTCACAGAAAGGAAAAGAGAAGGAGTATAGAGGAAATGAACTGGAAAAGATGTATATCAAATCTGAAGAAGAAAAAAAAAACACTTACGAATATTTTGGGGTTTCAAATATAGGGTTTCACAATATAAATGGTTTGAAGGACAATAAGAATAGGCTAAAAGCGATTATAGATTACGCAAAAGAGAAAAACATAGATATTTTAGGAATTGGTGAAACTAATATTTGTAGTAAAGAGGGCCTGTTCACAATTAAGGAAGAAGACTCCTACAAAAGCATATGGGCTGATGCAGAGATTAACAAAAAGAAGGGGTCAGACATCAGTGTTTTGATAAAAGAGCTCTAGAAAAGACACATTACACAAATAAACAAAACCAGCTCATACTTTTTTAGTATTAGCCTAGACTTCAAAGAGCTTACAATACATATCATCTTTGTATATGTTGCTCCAAGCAACAAAGATGTATAGGCAGAGATATTAGAAAGGCTAAGGAATAATATAGAGCAGCCAAAACAAAACTACAACACTTTATTGTACTTGGTGATCTTAATATTAGTACAGATAAATATCCAAGCAATGCTACAGGCCATATGGAGCTATAGTCTAGGACAAATTTGAAGCAAAGAATTATATTAATGTTAGAAGAGAGAAATTTTTGTGATGTGCAAGAAACAATGAACCTGCCAACATAGTCAAATAAGAATTCAGAAACTCGTATTGATTATATTTGGGTATCAGAGCAGTGGAGGAATAACATCATTAGTAGTAAAGTGGACGAGATGAATATATGCACAACAAGCGATCACAAACTTATACGTGCAAGTCTCCTCACAGGCCTAGAGTTGAGAAAGGTCAAGCCAGCAAAACAAAGATGGTGGAACAGAAAAAGAGTTAATATAGATATTGATAAAGCCTCCAAAGAAGATTGGCAGCAATACAAGGAATTCTTAAACAAAAAACTTAAAGACTAGTGGCAAAAGCGGGGTCCAAAAAGCTTAGATAAGAAATAGGATATAATAGAAAATTGTATGAGAATGGCTGCCAATATATATCTGCCAAAAAGAAAGAAAATCTAGAAATCTCGCAAGTTAGCAAAAAGGATAAAGAAACACGTAATCTCAGACTAGCGGTCAAGGCTTGCAAAATCAAAAAAGGCACCGTCTAGAGAAAAGGTTACTGAATCAATTGAACCAAACTCAAAAAAACAATAATAAAAATCTTTTAGGCGATTCGGGGCTATTGAATATAGAAAACCTCAAGATCTGGGCCAAAATTATGTACAAAGAATGGTGGGTTAAAATTAAGAAACTGGAAGAAGCAGAGATAAGAAAATGCATAGAAGAGAGACACAGTATCATTGTGTCGAATCAGCAGAAAATGATCAATAGCCTGCTAGATCGGCCATACAGAAAAATTAAAATAGACCAAATTACCAAAAAAATGAAAAAGAGGCAGAACTTCTATATGAAACAAAGGAAGTCCTTGAAGAGGTCAAAGAACATTTTCAAAAGCAATTCCAAGAAAGAAACATGACAGACCCAAGTATGTTGCCAAAAAGATGGGCAAAACAATACTTCCCAAAGGAGAATATAGATGAGACATGGTATTCAAAAGTATTAAACGACGTTAATGCAGCGGAGTGGGACTGTGTCCTCGTACAAGTCAAAGCTAAGTCTGCTCCAGAGACATCTGGAATCACATATTCTTTAATCAAAGGAGCAAGAAAAATTGCAAGTGGGTTCTTTCTAAATCTTGCCTTAGCTTGTATAAAGTCTGGCGCAATACTAAAGAAGTAGAAGCTAGATATTTTGTACCCAATACCTAAAACAGAAGAATGGTGTTACAAGCTCAACAATGTCCGACCGATCTTACTCCTGGAGTCTTTTAGAAAGACAGTTATGAGAATTGTAATGAACAGACTAACCAAAGTTATAGAAGAGAAAAAAATACTTAGAGGGAGGAATTTTGCAGGCCTACCAGGTAAAGGCACCGCATTACCTATATACCTTCTAGGTTGCCTAATAGAAAAAGCAAAAGAAAAAAAAAAAAAACTATGGATGATGTTTCAGGATATGAAAAAAGCATACGATTTAGTAGGGCTGAAAATGCTAGAGTTAGCTATGAAATATATTAAACTCCCTAAAACAACAGTCCAATTTATTTTAAGCTTATATAAAAGCAAAAAGATGGAGGTTTTAACAAGTATTGGTATGACAGAAAGATTCGTAGTAGATGATAGTATAGATCAAGGAGAAGTAATATCCCCCTGGTGTAGCGAATCTTTTATAACTCTTTGCTAACTAAAATACAAGAAAGTCCTAAGTGAGGTTATAGGTTAGAAGTACAGTGCCAAACGATCTTAGAAAGAATCTAGCTTATCAACAAGGTTTGAGGATTCCAGTTATCGCTTATGCAGATGACACCACTTTCATAGCAAACAGCAAGCAGGAGCTAGAAGAAACAATTGTGATTGCACAAAAATTTTACAGATTAAATGATATCGAAATAAATAGCAAAAAATCAGAGCTCTTGGTAATTAGAGGGGGGAGAAAGAAATGAGAGTCAAGATATATAGAAATCGGATCAACAAAAGAAAAAGTGATTAAGGAAAAGTCAAACAAACCAACAAAATTTCTGGGAGTATAGCTATCCAAAAAATTTAGCCAGCACCATGCACTAGATATTGCCAGAAAAGAAATTAATACAATAATAAAAGCATTAGTAAGAAAAAGTTTAATACTAGCATGGCTGATTTATATCAACAACAGTATACTCCTGCCGAGATTGGAGTATAGGCTACAACATAGTGTTCTTTTAAGAGAACAGTACGACAGATTGCAGAGCTCTCTGGTATAGCTGATAAAAAATAAATCTGATCTGGCCATTATATTAGCCAATGCTATACTAGTGCACAAAAACATAGCAGAGCTAAAAACAATCTGGCAGAACCAAATAGCACATCATGTAACAGAGCTCAGAAAATGAATAAATAGCCAAGATGATCTTAGAGAAGCTGTGTGGATCAGAATTTGGCAAGCACAATTAGATTGCAAAAGCCCAAGATGTATTCTAGGCCTGGAACTAGCAAGATTGAGGAAAATACACCTTAAGCAAAACTTAATCTACAAAATCATGACAAAGTTGAAACAAATGAACTTAAGTTTTAGATCAGAGGAGATGGAAAAAAGCCTCAAACTTACAGAAGAAGGTATTGAAATAGTAAACTTGCTAGAGCCAAAACAGATCAAAAGCTTTATTCAAAAAAAAAAGGCAAGAATCTTTGT